ATAGCTTAATGACACCAGGTAAAAATGAGATAAAAATACTCATTTTTACCTTTTTTATACACTTACTTCTACTTATAAAAAAATAAAACTTGCATCTTGTTTGGCTCCAATGAGAAATGAATGTTCAAAATATTTTAAATGCCATAATTTAACACAGGAAAGTTCAATTATGCCAAAGAAAAATATTAGTAAAATAAAATTAAAAATACAATTTTTGATGGAAATTAAATTTTGTTTTTTTTTTTTTTTTAATACAAACTTTTGTGTGAAAAAGCTTTTTTTTTTTTTTTTTTTTTTTTCACGAAACTTCAAATAAGTTTATTTTTTATGTAAAAATATGATGAAAATCTGTTTCAAAGGCTATAAAATTTTCAGAAATACATGAATTTCGTAGAAACAAATTCAAATTTCACGAGACAAAAATAAATCTTTTCAATAAACGAGACTTAAAGTAAGCTCACTTTAAGTCTCATTTATTGAAGATTTATTTTTGTTTATGCTACATAAAGAAAAATAAATCTTTTCAATAACCAAGACTTCAAAATGATTTTGTGGCTTAAAACTATTATAAAAACAAATTATGTGAAAATATTTTCAGTGAAAGATTTTTTGCAAGACTTACATTGAAAAGTGTACAAGAAATTGTAATTTAACTGCCTCACCATGAGTACAATTTGTGACACAAGGTTCAATTTTTTTATGTGAAGAAATCAAATGTGATGTTCCTGCCAAAGAGAACGTAAACACCTACCACCACCTCTTGTATGATTCTTCAGATTAAGTGCTGAATGAAACTCCTTATATGGCATTTTATTTTTACTTTCTACTTAAGAATAATTGAAAATCAGAATTTTAAAATAAAATTTTGTGTACTAAGATTCTATGTTTTTTTTTCTAGTTCTTTTTCAGATGCAAGTAACACTTTTTTTTATTTATGAATTAAAAAAAAATAAAAATTGTCTTAAAGGAGAGCCTGGAAGAACAATGTGAATTCATTTTGTATTTGTTACATAATTTTGATTATAATTATTAATAAATTAATTTATAATATTAAATGGCTGAATTAACAATGTTTAAAAAGAAATTTAAAACTAAAACTTATTTTGAACTGAAACAGACTTTTTAAACTAGTGGTCTTTCTGGAATGTTTGGTAACTGAGTAGAAACTTGCACATATAATTTTTTTTTTTGTTTTTTACTGATAGTCTAAAATCAATAAGTATTTCTATCTTTTTATAATTAGTACCAGGAATGGAAAATTAAGTTTTAAAAAAAAAAATTCCAAAGAATCATTTTGGTATCTGAAATTAGGTTAAAATTCTTTTGATTCCGATGCCCCAAAAAGTTCCAATACTTGATACTCGATTGTGATTAATTTTTCCATCAAATAATATATATATATATATATATATATATATATATATATATATAATTATATATTATATATAAAAAGTAAACAAATTAAAATAGTATAGGTACCTCCACTTTTTCGCTGAAAAACAGCATGACAAAAAAAAAGGCCCAAAACTTAATAAAAACAGTTTTGTTGTCAAAATGTTTGGTCCTTTCTCTTCATAATAGAGTATTTTTTTTTTTTATTATTTTTGGAAATTTTTTACTCCTTTCTAGCACGTTCGAAATTTTGGTTAAAAATCTTTTTTTTTTTTTTATGCCAGCAGCCAACGTAATAACTACAATTAGTATTTTTTCACTTTTTTCTGGTGAAAAACACATTGATTTTGAAATTCTTGCAAAAATCAAATAATTGTCAGATTTTAATGAAACTTTCAAAACCTATTCACAAATGAATGAAATTATTTACATATATTATCCCCACTTCATTAAATTTCAAGAAATTCAATTTTCAGGGTGGGAATTTTTTTTTATTAGTTTAAAGCAGGACTCCTTGGAGAATGTAAATCAACTTTTTTATTTTTTTTTTTCTTAAAACAATCTACTTACTGAAAATCTGCTCTGAATTGTAAAATAAAAAAAAATGCAATAAAACTATGACATTATTAAATTAGAAAAGCTTTTAATTGCTTTTATAAATAAGATTTATTAAGGAGATTACTACCTTTAAGAAAAATTTTTTTCAATGAATAATTAATTTTTACAAGAATTTTCATTTTTAAAAAAATTTTATTAAGTAATTTATAATATAAAAATTGTTTAAAAAAATCTGCATTACTTCAAGGCTGCTATTATTCTTAAGTAAAAACTACATTTATGAATTAAAAATTGAAAAGCTCATAAGTCGTTTATACCCCCATAGTAAAAAAAAGGTATTCTATTGACAATTAGAATTTTGGATATAAATGAGATTTAGGGAAAAACTCTATGCAAAAAAAGTGACTCGCTTATTTCCGGCAACTAGTAATCAATAGAAACATAACCGAACAGCTTTAAATAAAGAATAATAGAGGTATAATTTATTTATATTAGGTAATATAGTTCAAAATATTTAATGATCTATGGGTCCTCCTTTATTTTGAATAACCTTTTCAACCCTTTTTGGCATTGACTTGATTAGGTTCTGGCAAATCTTATCTCCAAGCATTGAATTCCATTCGGATATGAAATTCACAATCAAATCTTTTTGTTGCTCAACTGCTTTCTCAAGAGCCTGTACTTTATAATGCTCCATAAGTTTTCTATGGGGTTGAGGTCAGGAGATTGGGGCGGCCATGTCATAATACTCACCTGCTTCTCATCAAAGTATTCCTTCATCAATTTTGATTTGTGACAGGGAGCATTATCCTGCATAAAAATGAGCTTGGTGGGGTCGATTTGCACCCTTTCAGCAGAAGGGAGCAGACAAGACTCTAAAATTCTCTTGTACTTGCTCGCTCTTGAGGGTCTTTTCAATAGGTTTTAAGAAACCAGTTCCATGAAAAGAAATGCATCCCCCAGAACATTATACTGAACGGATGCTTGACAGTACTTACTGCTAAATTCAAAGAGCTTTCAAAGCTTCTTCTTTGGATTTTAGATTGCTTATCCTTTGAATTTAGCTCAACTTTTGTTTCATCGGAGAAGAGAACATTTAGTAAAAAAATCAGGTGAGTCACTTTTATCAAACATCACTGTATATATTTTATTTTTGGAACATTTTTAAAACCAATTAAAATGTAAGAAATAACGGCTAGTAAACAGACTTTTGAAATTGAGCAAATATTTGACATTCCAGTCTATATAATTTCTATTTGAAATACACACGAGTCGATTTAATCTTTTAGCTTTCAATCAAAGCTAAAAAAATCTTCAAGAATGCGTTTTCATTTTAAAAAATTCTTTTTAAACCTTAGGTATTGAAAATCTTAGTGAAAAGGTGGAAGTATCTACAATTGTATAAGTTTGATAGGTCTGACAAAGTAAAACTGACTGTTAATCTTGAAAATGACCTCCAATCTGTTAAATGGGTAAGAAATGGCTTGTACATTTTAACGCCTCCAAAATAAACTAGTCCTTTAATCATCATGCTATTTTTGGCTTCCTTCTGTTTTTCTATAAATATTTTCATGGCAGTTATCCTAATGAGCTCTCCTTCTTGGTACCACAATCACATGAATTTAAGTGTACTACTAGATTGGCAGTTAGGTCTCATCATTTTACTGTTGGAATAGCTATATGTAACTATAAGTTGTATTCTAATAGTTTTTTCTTGCACTTCTGGTTTCTTGCTTTATGCCAGCCACTATCATCAAAAATTTAAATACATCAATCGTTATCTTCTGTTTTCTTGAAAACCTGTTCTTTAATTGCACTTTCTCTTCCTGAAAGTCTTCTTATTCTCTTCCCCTCCTTGTAACCACTAGTATCTTAGTAGCATTATTACCTTGTTTCGAGTGAAATGATTAAAAAAATATGATCCCATAATAGTTGCTACATATTTCTACACATTTCAAACATTAAATGTATCAACTATTATGGGACAGATATTTCTTACTACATCTATTCCATAATCATTGAGAAATTTGTCTACAGTTGTCATGCACTTCTTGTCTGTGGAACTCCCAATTACTTGCTACCCTGCCACCTATGATCTTCAAAAATTTAAATGCAACACCAATCGCCATCTTATCTTCTGGGATCCTGTGTTTTTATTGTCCTTTTTCCTTCCTAAAGTTTTCTCCTTCTCTTTCACTCTCAATTACTGTTATAGCATATTTATGTATGATAACGGGTATGTCCCCAGTCCCATAAATACAGTAGTGAATACTGTATGTTGGTCTACCGTTGGAGATTCACTTTACTCGCTTTTAGCAGTAGTCCACTTCTATGCACTCCTGGCAAATCTTATATGTGTTGTCCTAAGTATAATTGTTCTTTACCAACCTTCTTTTGATTATTCTATTCAGTAACCTTTCCTAGGTTACAACAGTTACCTTTTGCTTTTTAGTGGCATTATTGCCTTGTGAAATGATTTTTAAAAAAAATCTATCCCATAATACATTTGCATTCACCTTTCATACATTAAATGTATCAACTATTATGGGATAGTATATTTTTCCAACAATTTAAAATGTGACATCAATCACCATCTGTCTTTCTGGAACCTGTCCTATTATTGACCTTTCTCCTCACTAAAATATTCTCATTCATTAAACTCTGGTGTCTTCATGGTATTAACACCTTGCTTGGGGTGAAAAGATTTAAAACAACCAAAAAAAAAAAACCCCAAAAAAACACTCTTGATGCATCTTATCTAATGGCATCTAAAGATGTTTACAGTGTTCGACTAGCTGTTCTGCATTAGCTTTATACTTAGTATCATTAAAGGAGTGTTTTTATATTGGCGTGAGGGGTGAGGCACTAAGGATGTGATTTGGGAGTTAGTTAGGTCATGACAGCTAGAAAATAGTTAGGAGCCTTTGATGTAGTGCAGTGTTCACATCTCAAATTTGTTTGCCATATTTAAAAGCGGGGACAGTTTTATTCTTACAAGGAATATAATAAATTTACTTATTTGTTTATTTATTTTAATTTTTGTTTTGCAGTCACTATTCTGGTTGATCTTTTTGGTATTAGGAATGATGATCTTCAGTGTCTTGTACTGGTGCGTCTTGAACATCAAAGCCAGAGGTAAGAATTCTTTCTTTTTGTTACTTTTTCAGATGTTTTTGTATAATCTATGGTGTCACAGTACATTGCAAAGAGCTGTTAGGTAACCTTGACATATTTGGGAAGAATATCAGTATAATCCAGAACTTATATTGGCAGCAAACCGCTTGCATGAGGATAGAAAATGAATTCAGTCAATATACAAAAATAGAGAGTGGAGAAGACAAGGATGAGTCTTAGAAGTTGTACCAATATTCATTATTAGTGGCCATAAGATTAACAACATTAGATAAGCAGACGACACAGTGTCGATAGCAGATACAGAAAGGAAACTACAAGAACTGCTACAGAATATAGTAAAGGAAAGCAAGAAGAAAAGACTAAGCATCAACTGTAAGAAGAGAGAATGTATGGTTGTTAGCAAAAAGGACAGCCCAACATGCAAATTACAAATTGGGAATACCAAAATCAAACAGGTACAACAATTTAAATATCTGGGAAGTGTTTTAACAGAGGATGGAAAGTGTGACACTGAAATCTGAAGGTCGATTACGATAGTCAAAGATGCTTTAAGCAAAGTATTAAGAAAAAAAGAAAAAAAATATGGGGTACAAAAGACTGTTATAAGCTTTTCAATTTTTGATTCATAAATGTAGTTTTCACTTAATAACAATAACAGCACCCTGAAGTAATGCCGAATTTTAAACGATTTTTTTTTATATTATAAGTTATTTCGTTAAAATTAAAAAAAAATGAAAACAATTCTTATAAAAATTAATTATTCATGGAGAACATTTTTCTTAAGACAATAATGTCGTTAATAAATCTTATTTATAAAAGCAATTAAAAACTTTTCTAATTAAATAATGTCATAGTTTTATTGCATTTATTATTTTACAATTCAGAGCAGATTTTTAGTTTAGTGCAAAAACACTAATTGTAATTAAGTTGGCCACTGACATAAACGGAATACGATTTTTAACCTAAATTTTGAACGTGCTAGAAAGGAGTAAAAAATTTCTGAAAATAATCAAAAAATATTTTGTTATTATGAAGAAGAAAGACCAGACATTTTGCCAATAAAATTTTGTTTTTATTAAGTTTGGGGCTAATTTCGTCATGTGATGCTGTTTTTTCAGCAAAAAAGTGGAGGTACCCTCACTATTGTAATTTGTTTACTTTTGCTAGGCAACTTTATATATATATATATATATATATAAAGACATTTTTATATTTATGCATTCTTTTTTATAGATAAAAATATTTAAGTAAATGCTCTGTTTATAATAAACAGTATTAACAACATTTACCAGCCTGAATGTCTGAGAAATTGTCATAGAAAATATGCGTCCTTTGACAGGAATTGAACCTGTATCCCATATGGAACCATCATATAGCCTGATGTGCTTTTACTGATTCGCCACAGAGGAGCGTTTCAGTTAGCAAGGTCGTTTTTAAACTACAATTTTTCATGATTTTCTCACATACCTTCATAAATGTATAAACATAAAAATGTCTTAAAATAATTGTCGGACTTTGTCCATTTCATAATGTGTGACGCCATTTGTTTACATTTGGATATGCATCGAGCAGATATGAATGTACGGGATAGCGTACACACAGTCTTTAGTCATGTTTTCCTCTATGGGGGGGGTCTTACTCGGGAGAGATATCTGCGAAGTGTTGTCAAGCTTTTGAAGGTTGTCCTGATGTTATATGGACTGCAGATCCTTTGTATTTTCTCTGATAACCCCTTCACATAAGGCAGGCAGACTGTTTTCTGAGTGTTGTCGTCCTCCTCCTCTTGTACCCACCTATCCCAGTTTTGGGGGGCTGCTGCCATGTACCCAGGGTAGTTGTTACATTGTAGGGTACTACTTATACTGACCAATTCTTTATCTAATGTCTCTGAGTCGCCACTTATCACTTTTGCCTGGTGTTGAATATAAAGGAGAGACAGGCCTCCCCCTCAAGGTAAGGCTTCAAGAACACCAGAAATCTGTAACACGAGGGGAGGTAGAAAAATCAGGTGTGGCTGACCACATATGGAGAGAGAAGGGAGATCACTGCCCTCTGTGGGATCATGTTGAGATCATAGACAAGGAACACCATTGGAAAATTCGTAAACTTAAGGAATCAGCACATATGCTAGGCCATAAAAATCTCCTGAGCCGACCAAGCATAGAAATAAATACAATATGGGAACCAGTAATAAGGAGTGCCAGAGAAAAGCAATGATAACAACAAAGTTGCAATATGAGTTCTGGTAAAAAAAAAAAAAAATGCAATAACAGCAAAATTGCAATATGAGCACTGTTAAAAATGGTTGCTGAAGACATTAGGTTTATAATATCCAGAAATTCATACCCAGATGTCCTCAAGGACACATGGCACAGTGGATAAAGGTATTGGTTAGATCCAAGGACAGGACCCAAAGAGTGTGAGTTCAATACCCGGTTAAGGCAGTGGAGAACTTGGAGAGGGGAATTAACAGGAGATAACTGATAACTGACATCCATTAAAACTAGAACAGTCTACCCCAGTGATCGAAATAAAGGGTTCAGTTCGACATTCCAACCACCTGAAGAAACGTTGTGATAAATATGGCGACAAAGATGAGGACATATATATATCTCTAACAAAACAAAACAAAGAAAAGAGTACTTAACTACTATGTAACATCAGTCTTCCTATATGGTAAGTGAATAAATGAAGTGACTTGAAGTAATAGTAATGTGGTTCTACTAAAAGGATGTTGATAATACTGTGATGAAGTTTTAGAGAAAATGAAAGCAAAAAGGACACTTAACGTCAGGAAGAGAAACATGACTAACGAGGCATATTTTTCCCCGCAGTAGGTTGCCATTTCTTTCTGCAGTAGACTAGTTGCCATCCAAGGCTATAGAACCCGATCTGTCCTGCTAATTACCCATATCTGGGGTGGGGGGCAAAGAAGAGGATTCATACCTTTCCCAAGGGTATTAGCATATAAGTGAATGTAATGGATTCGACTGGAATTTGAACTTGGCTCTCCGATTTCTCAATCCTAGCTGCTATCCATTACTCCATCGTGCCTCCACTAATCTATCCTTAGTGTTGCATTATGCATTTTGAAGCATTTCAGGAGCTATCTCGAGCACAGCTAGGCTAAACTATTGATCTTCTGGCAATAAACCTTTGTTTTTTATGAAACCCCATGCAAAGAAATCCAGGCAGGAGTCAACAAAGATGTGTTCTTGTGAAATCATTATTAATAGGAATGAAAATAAAATTAGTTCTATTTTTGTATATGACTTAATTTAACTTTGAGGCCAAGAATAGAATAAAATATCAAAACTTGTCTTTATTCTGTGTGTTTGGGTAGTAACACAGTTGTAATTCCAACTTTGCTCTCCACAATGTCTGTACTTGTAGGGGAGTTATAAGTCTGAATAAATAATTATAAACTCCCTTACATTTATATATATATACAAAAATACTTGTAAAAATTAGAAACACCAAAATGTGGAAACCTCAAAATAAGTATTATTTATTATTTGGTGGTTATGTGATGTTGGAAGAATCTGAGATAGTAATACAGAGTAAAATTGTGAGTTTATAGTTCTTTGGATTGGAATCTGACAGAATGACATGATATAAAGTATAAGCAAAATGTATGCAGTCTTCATAGTATGTGTGTGTGTGTGTGTGTGTTTTTATTTTTTTTTTTATTATACAGGGTGGGGCATAATTTTCCATACATGGGGAAAATGCATGGTGTGGGATGTGATATGGGGGGGTGACAGAATTATTGGACCAATTTTTGTCAGTGAAAATCTTAATGCAGAAATGTATCGTAACATGTTGCAAGAGGAAATTCTCCCATTCCTGCTAAACGAGAAAGGTGACTACCCAGTTTACTTCCAGCAAGATGGAGTGCCACCTCATTATGGTCATCAAGTGCATTGGAATTTGGATCAGCAGTTTCCGGATACTTGGATAGGTCAACATGGTCCTGTGGAGTGACCTCCAAAATCCTCAGATCCCCCCTCACCCGACCTATCTTTGGGTCACTTGAAGGCCATGGTGTATCAGGTGAAGGCACAAGACATAAATCATCTCAAGGAACGTATCACCAATGCCATTATAAGCATAACCTCAACTGTGCTAATGCGTGTTCATCAACAGTAGGAAACATATTAATGTGTTTTCAAAACCATGATAATCATGTAGAGCACATTATATAAATAAAAATGGTTGTCCAACATTAAATGTTTATTTTTTCTATGTATGGAAACTTATGGCCCACCCTGTGTGTGTGCATATATATATATATATATATATATATATATATATATATTTATTAAAGACATTTTTATGTTTAACGTTCTTTTTATAGATAGAAGTATTTAAGTAAATGCTCTATAAAAAGAACGTTAAACAAAAATGTCTTTAATAAATAAATTGTCGGACTTTGTCCATTTCTTTATATATATATATATATATATATATGTGTGTGTGTGTAATGAGCATCCAGATACTTTAGTTGGAAAAGGGTGTCTAGGGTTTCTTGCCTTGAATTTTGATTGAGAGCGAAAATATAAATGTTACTATTATGGCCTGAAAAATAAAAGGAGACAATTTTAATTGACACATGTTTTGATGACCTGTATGTGGGAACTGCTTGTATGATAGTGAGAATGTGTGTGGATTAGAAAAGTAGGGTCAATTCTCATTGGTTTAGAATGAGTGAATTAATTATAATTGTTATTATTTAATTATAATTATTTCTTTGACACTATATTTTTATTTTATTTTTTTTATGGACACAAAAGTCTCAATGAATCCACATTAGATGGGCCTCAAATGATAAAAACTTTGGAATGTTTTATCAGAACCGTCTAGATGAGGCACCAAAATCTGAACCCATATTGGACTAATGAAAAAGGCATTCCAAATGCTAAGCAAAGTTCTGAGAAACTGGAAAATTTTGTTAAAAACTAAAAGAGTGCTGGATTGTTATGTGATATCCGTCCTGACAGATGAGAAAACTAGAGGCAGCAGAAATGTGGTTCTACAGAAGGATACTGAGAATTTCATGGACAGAATAAGCAAGCAACAGAAAAAAAAACACTTATATTCAAAATCAGGAAGAAATAGCTAAAATTCACATATTGGAGACATAAGAAATAGAGGAACCTAGAAAGCCGCCTACCTGATGAGTTCGTGCGAATAGATGGCAGAATGAGTGGCGGGAGCCTTAGCAGAAGGAGAAAAAGAGGCCACAAGAGAAAGGAAGCCATGAATAGCCGTGTCCTGAAAGAGGTGTGGTAAATAGACAAAGCATGTGCAGACTTTACTGGGAAAATCAAGTCCTTCCCACCCTTCATTATTTAAAAAAAATTTTTTTTTTTATTTGTTTTTATCTATCTATTTTTGAGTGATCCCATACTAAAGGTTAATTATCTCACACTGACATGTTTATTTAGTTAATGTTAAGTCATGGGTACAATTTAGTCACGCCACTCACTGACATCCATATCATTGTGGGAAAATTTTCATTCTCAAGTAGATAAATAAACTTCCTGCAAAAATAGATGGAAATTAAATTATATAAAAATGTTATTACATCTGGACATACAATCACAACAAAGATGCATACTTGTTTTGATGCCTAAACATAAGCATCTCATCAGGTGGTGAACAAAGATGGTTATAAACGATTTTTATTTAAAAATGCTACTTATGAAACATCTCTTCTTTTTACATTTTTAAAAACTTCCGGAAGGCATAAGAAGAATTTCCATGAAAGGAAGAGAAAGAAATAAGCAGGTTAAAGCAGAAAAAAGAGGACAAGAAATCAATAAAAGGGAAGAAGAAAGAAAGAGTTAAGAAAAGCATAAAAAATCATCCCTTCTCCAAAGAAAAAGAAGAGAAAAGGAAAGAAGAGAAAAAGGAAGGGAGTTATATAACAAAATTAACTAATACAAAGAAAAGGAAAAAAAAAATCTAAATAGTTTGATAGGTGTGATTTATGCTTAGAAGAAAAAATTAAAATAATAAAATACAATAATGAAAGTCAACTATTGATACAGAGGGAATGAATTAATGTTTAAATGTCTACATAAAAACAAATTCAAATTTCCATAAGAGAGTTTGGTTTTAATTAACTACTCAAAATCACTCCCCAACTCCCATTTCCTCTAACTCTTCAAATTATAAACCAAAAACTAATTCTAATTCCCATAGTGGAATTTTACCTTATTTAGCTACCCTAAGTGATTCCTCTCCCCGTCTAAAACCTTTTATACCATATTTATTATAATTTATAAACTTTCATCTACCTAAAGTATCTCCTTAACTCTTTTCATTAATCCCTTACATCTCTCTCTCTCTCTCTCTCTATATATATATATATATATATATATATATATATATATATATATATATATATATATTATATATATATATTTTTAATTTCTTCTTTAATTTTAAATTTAAGTTAAAAATTTGTTCTCTTCTAATACTCCCAATTTGTCATTATAAAGTTAATAATCTGGTTTTTTAATAAAACTTCTCTTTAAGATAGATACCTACCACCCTCTTTGAACTCTGTCTCGTGCTTAGAGTTTGACTGAAACCGTGAAAAGTGTAAACCCTGTATTAAATTTTTTGGCAAGTTATGGTTTAAGTTGACCCTTTAGCTTCCAATATCAATTCGTCAGTTAACTGCTAACCTTACAGAAATGAACTTCATTTCATTCCACACTGGGCTTGAAAAGACAGACGACCACTTTTGTCTTCTGCCAAAATAGCCTATTCCCCATATGAGGTAAAAGGATTTGTTTGATTTATATATATATATATATATATATATATATATAAAAAACAGGCATCCCTTGATTAATGTGCATTTTATTAATGCATTTTTGATTAGTCTTAAAATTTTTATATACCAACATTTGATTAGTGCATACATAATATTCGATTAGTACAGTAAAACATTCTTCAGCTTGACTGTAGTAATTGAAAATTGATTTTCTTTTTTATAGTTACTGATGTACATATGAGCTGCACCAATTGAGGGATTCTATATATATATATATATATATATATATAGAATCCCTCAATATATATATATATATATATATATATATATATATATATATATATATATAATTGTTAATTGAATTTTTACCCTTACAAATTTCTATTTTATCATGAATGAGTTTTAATTCTTTGAAACAATTTATTCCACATTCTTTCTCATCTGATTTGGGTTTTTTTTTCCTTCCCTTGTCCCATGTTTGTTTCCTTGTTTCTTTTATTTCTTTCCTTGTCCATCTTTGTGTATAATTCCTGTTTTCCATCACTCATAATTTTAAATTGGTTTTAACCTCTGAGAATCATTTTGATTATTAAAAGTTTAAAAAGTAGTTTTTCATTAGAATTAATTCAATAATTGTCAAATCTTCCTTGAAATTTCTGAGATAAGGTGTTATTTTATATTTGTTCATCGGGACTAGTTGTTGAACAGGACCTTTTATTTTTAGCCAATAAATAGTGACTGGGCATAGCTGAGTGATTAAAGGTACTGGGACAGCTCATCTGATTTCATGGAAGTTCAGAGTTCAATCTCTGTCAGGTAGTGCAGATATATACACTTGATCAGTAGAAAAGTAAACTGGTGTCACTATGAAGACTTGACAACTATGAGTTCTGGTATTTTCTCAGAAAGACACCATGCTAGTTAGAACAAATATGAGGGAATGAGTTTGAATAAATTGATGTAAAATTGTTGGAATTTTTTTTCTTCAAAATACATTTATATTGAAATGAGTTGTGCTTGTTTTTCAGTCTTGGCCACTGAAAGGGAAAAGTCCAAGATAAGATTTCGAAAGAGAGACAAAGTCATGTTTTATGGAAAAAAAATGCTTAGAAAAGTAAGTAAAAATTCTCCCAAGTGAACTTCAACCATTATACCCCACCAAAAAAAATCTTGTATTCAGAGACCATAACTCTATGAACAAATTTTTTTTTTATTTATTTTTTTTATTCATAATTTTTTGATCATTTTTCAAATTTTTGGAGTCATATTTACTTTCTAGACTTGTTAACTGATTTGAGTCTTTTACTTTTTCAGGTAAAGACATTTACAAAAAATGATGTTTTAGGGCCAAGAGGACGAATGAAGAAACGCCAGCTGGTGTTAAAGATTGCCAAAAGGTAATTATTATTTATCTATCTATTTATTTATTTATTTTTTTTTTTTTTAACAAAATTTTATGAATTAGGTTTTGATTAAATTTAGCTCTGCAATCTTTTATATTCAGTCTGATTTCTTTTCCAAGACAGAAAATCAAATTACTTATGTTTATTGCTGCAAACTTGTCTTGTACACCAATTTATTTTAGTAAATTTGATGTTCACTTTACTTTGTAGTCTATATTCTTTTTTTCTTTTGTAAATTTTTTTATGGCTTTGTGCTTAACTCAAAGATGGCTACCATAGCAAGCGGATTAGCAAGCTTAACTTGCTGACCAAACTGTTACTGTAATATAAACTTTTTTTTTATTTTTTTTTTATTTTTATTTTTATTTTTTTTTTTAAACCTTTTATTTTTTAAATCCCATATCTTGGTTCCTCAGATTCAGATCCATTTATGAGATGGCTATGATCAGAATTTTACAATAGGTTAAAGTGATTAAAGTTTTTGTATGATTACATCTTCATGGGCAGTTCATACACTGAAAAAAAAAAGTATTCTCTCTCTGTTTATCTGTGTGTGTGTCTGTGTCTGTCTCTCTCTCTATCTGTGTGTGTGTGTCTCTCTCTATCTGTGTGTGTGTCTCTATCTGTCTGTGTGTGTGTGTCTCTATCTGTGTGTGTGTGTGTGTCTCTATCTGTGTGTGTGTGTCTCTCTCTATCTGTGTGTGTGTGTCTCTCTCTATCTGTGTGTGTGTGTCTCTCTCTCTATCTGTGTGTCTCTCTCTCTCTCTCTCTATCTGTGTGTCTCTCTCTCTCTCTCTCTATCTGTGTCTCTCTCTCTCTCTCTCTCTCTCTATCTGTGTCTCTCTCTCTCTCTATCTGTGTGTCTCTCTCTCTCTCTCTCTCTATCTGTGTGTCTCTCTCTCTCTCTATCTGTGTGTCTCTCTCTCTCTCTATCTGTGTGTCTCTCTCTCTCTCTATCTGTGTCTCTCTCTCTCTATCTGTGTGTGTCTCTCTCTCTCTCTATCTCTGTGTGTGTGTGTCTCTCTCTCTCTATCTCTGTGTGTGTGTGTCTCTCTCTCTCTATCTGTCTGTGTGTGTGTGTGTGTGTGTGTCTCTCTCTCTATCTGTATGTGTCTCTCTCTCTCTATCTGTGTGTGCGTGTGTCTCTCTCGCTCTGTCTGTGTGCGTGTCTCTCTCGCTCTGTCTGTGTGCGTGTGTCTCTCTCGCTCTGTCTGTGTGTGTGTGTCTCTCTCGCTCTGTCTGTGTGTGTGTGTCTCTCTCGCTCTGTCTGTGTGCGTGTGTCTCTCTCGCTCTGTCTGTGTGTGTGTGTCTCTCTCTCGCTCTGTCTGTGTGTGTGTGTCTCTCTCTCGCTCTGTCTGTGTGTGTGTGTCTCTCTCTCGCTCTGTCTGTGTGCGTGTGTCTCTCTCGCTCTGTCTGTGTGTGTGTCTCTCGCTCTGTCTGTGTGTGTGTCTCTCGCTCTGTCTGTGTGTGTGTCTCTCTCTCTGTCTGTGTGTGTGTGTCTTCGTGTGTGCATCTCTCTGTGTGCATGTCTGTCTCTGTGTGTCTCTATCTCTGTGTGCATGTCTCTATCCATGTGTGTCTCTATCTCTGTGCATGTGTGTCTGTGTCTATCTGTGTGTCTATATCTGTGTCTCTCTCTCTCTATGTCTCTCTCTGATGTTATTGTGGCAATTTTGATGTTATGGTCAAATAAACACAATGTTAAATATTAGTAAGCTTTCCATTGTATTTCTCTCTGTCTGTGTGTGTGTGTCTTCGTGTGTGCATCTCTCTGTGTGCATGTCTGTCTCTGTGTGTCTCTATCTCTGTGCATGTGTGTCTGTGTCTATCTGTGTGTCTATATCTGTGTCTCTCTCTCTCTATGTCTCTCTCTGATGTTATTGTGGCAATTTTGATGTTATGGTCAAATAAACACAATGTTAAATATTAGTAAGCTTTCCATTGTATTTCTCTCTGTCTGTGTGTGTGTGTCTTTGTGTGTGCATCTCTCTGTGTGCATGTCTGTCTCTGTGTGTCTCTATCTCTGTGCATGTCTCTATCCATGTGTGTCTCTATCTCTGTGCATGTGTGTCTGTGTCTATCTGTGTGTCTATATCTGTGTCTCTCTCTCTCTATGTCTCTCTCTGATGTTATTGTGGCAATTTTGATGTTATGGTCAAATAAACACAATGTTAAATATTAGTAAGCTTTCCATTGTATTTTTATTTTTCAGGCTTCTTCAACGAAAGAGGGAGAGTCAGCCACTGTTAGTACAGAAGGAACCACCACGGTCATTCCTAGAAGTTGATTCTTCAGAACAAGATGACAGCGAATCCAGATTACCACCAGATGTCGTGTACATGTTACGGAGTGTCAGGTAAATTGGATTAACAGTTATAAATATAAAAAAAAAAAAAAATCAAAGAAAAAACATGTTACTGAACATATCCCTGATTGAGAACTAAAAGTGGTGCTAAGGGCCCTGGAAATAATGTTATGTTAACCATAATGATATTTGAAAGAGTGTTTACAGATTTTTTGGTGGGGGCATGAAATCTCCAGTGTGAGGTCTCATAGCATTTGCTAAAACAGTGGGTTACTTTTTCCTGAAACCCGTTATCTGACAAAAAAAAGAAAATGCATGAGCTACAATAAAAATAAGAGATATTAATCATGGCATATAATCATTTTTATGCAGGTCTTCTCTGAGACCTTCAAACTATTTCAAGAGTTCCACAAGGGTAAAAAGGCTGAGAAACTGGTGTACAAAACAATTTTTCTCTCTAGAATCTATCATGCATATCTATAAGTCCATGTTTAGAATATTGCTGCCACATGTGGTCTGGTGCCCCTGCCATTTAACTTGAGCTCCTTGATAAAATCCAAAGAAGAATCAGCAATATTATTGGTCCTGATCTGGCAGCTTGGCTTCAGTCACTTTCCCACTGCTGTAAGATTGCCTCCCGGTGTCTTTTCTATAAATACTTTCATGGTAATTGTTCAAATGAACTCTTTGCTATGGTACCTAGACTTTTATGAATGTACGCACAGTACTAGATTGGTGTCTAGATTTCCTCCATCTACTGTTGAACTGGCTAGATTTAGCCGTAAGTTTTATTCTAACAGTTTTTCTTGCACTTTTTGCTTGTGGAACTCCCTTCCAGCTCCATTCTTTCTAGCCCACTTTAATCTCCAAAAATTAAATACAATGTCAATCGCTATCCTCCTGTTACTCCTTTTCTCTTCCTGCTCATTAGTAATATTTCTGTTCTTCTACAGCCAGTAACTCCCTTGAGTCTTAGTGGCTTTACTGCCTTGCTTGGGCTGAAATTGATTTAAAAAAAAAACAGATACTAAAGTTTTATGATGATAATGTCTTTCTTTCCAGAGTTTTTGGACATTTCCAAAAAGATCTGTTTTTGGAGTTGTGCCGTCATTTTGAACGAAAATTTATACCAGCTCACACTTACCTTTTCCGTATTGGTGATAATGATGACAGCATCTACGTTGTGGAGAGTGGAAAAATCAATGTTTATATTACAGAAAGTGTAAGTAGACATTGTCCAGAGTGAGAAAGAGGTTTAAAAATAAAAAAGGGTGTTGTTTAAAAAAAAAAAAGCTGGAAATTTTGTACACATTTCAAAGTTTTTCATTCTGAGAGAACTTTTTTTTTCTCTCTCTCTCTCTCTCTCTCTCTCTCTCTCTCTCTCTCAGAAACAAAATAAAATGAGAAATCAGAGCCCAATTTGAATTACTGCCATGTTTGTTACATTCACTTATCCATAAATACCCTTGGGAAATCTATGAATCTATCCCCCCAGCTATGTGTTAAATAGTAAGATGTTTTATGGTTTTTATTCTTAAAAAAAGAAATTAATGCAATATAAAAAATACATATTCTTACAATCAAAAATATCTCCTCTTTAAATAACCTGCAAAAGGTTAAGCTGTAAAAAAAAGAAAAAAAAAAAATCCTACAATTAACTACAACACCCATAAAGTGTTTACAAGCTGTAACATTATATCCATCAACCAGGATAAAAAATTTTGAGTTGTGTATAAAAGTTTACAACTTTTTTTTTTATTTTCAAATTGTCTTCTGTCATCTGTTAAGTCTTTAGGTTTTAAAAAATGTCTGCTGGAAACTTTAGCACACACTTAATGAATAAAATTTTGCATAAATCCTTTTCTTTATTTTTCTAGAAGGCTGAAGATATTTTTTATATACTGTGTTGATTGAAATTTTTGTTGAAAAAGAACTTGTAAGATTAAATAAATAAGCCTTTAACTGTCCGCAACCAGCTAATCGTGTTTTTGAGTCAGATTGATTTTTAATTTAAATATCAAAAATTAAAATTTCAAAATAAATGTCTTTATTTGAATTGAGAACAATCTGTGAAACTCTTGTATAAAGCTACTTGAATTTTGAAAAAGACAAGTTTAAAAACTAAACAGGATATGCTCATTTTTCTTATCACCCTCTTGCATAAACTATTCCAGTAAGTTACAAAAGGTGGCTGGTAGGACAGTATATAAAGAAACCTATAGAGACAGTGATAATGTCCTTAGATGATTCTTGGATAATTCCCAGACAGTTATTGTAAGACAGTTACCAAGAGTCACCTACAACAGTTAATCTACAGGATTTACCATGAGGTGATATATATTTGGGATAAGGAATCTCATTTATTCAACAATTTATTTCAAACTTCCAATAAAACAACAGGGGAATATAACACTAATACATAGACTAGCTCTATTGTATACATAACATTTGCATTAATTCCTGACTGAGTAATTGGCCATGGTTAAATGTAATTGTCAGAAATGCCCAACAAACAGAATTGACAAAGTTTGCAATAAGCAATAACAAAAGAAAGAAAAGAACAGAGTAAAAATAATACAAAGCAAATATTATATACAAGACAAAAGTAGGCAAAGCAACAAGGCAAAAAAGGGATACAGACAAGTGATCATAGCATTCTGAAATCAAGAAAGAACAAGAATATGGTGGATGAGATTGAGAAATGGCCTGTCTTATTGTTTAGGAAGAAATCCCAGCATACATCTACTGTGACTTGTCTATAAATTTGGGGAAGAGGGATGTTTTTGCAGTCATTCAATACAGATTGGAATCAATCGTGACCACAGACAATCCCTTTCTTCCTGATTTCCAATGCATTCATATTGTAAAATTCATTAGCAATGCATTTACATTATACATATAATAGCCATATTCTATGAGTAATATTTGCATGAGGAGGCATGGTGGGGTAATGGATAGTGGCTCGGACTGAGGAATTGGAGAGTCGAGTTCAAATTCTAGTCACATCCATTACATTCACTTCCATGCTGATACCCTTGGGAAAGGTATGAATCCTCTTTACTCAATGGGTAAATAGCAGGAGAGACCGGGTTCTATAGCTCAGATGGCAACTGGTCTACTGCAGAAAGAAATGGCAACCTACTGCGTGGGAAAAAATCTGCCTCGTCAGTTATGTATCGAAAGGTACATAATTACCTAAGCGTGTATCATGCATGGCACATAACTGACTGAATACTTGCATGAATTCCTGACCACTGATAATCACTTTCTTCTTGATCTTCAATGCACTCCTGTTTTAAAAATGCATTTGTTTTGAACAGGAGTAGAGGTTTATCCATTGCTTCCTGTTTAAGATTGGGTTTTTGGTTTCTTCTAAAGTTTTCTCATCATGAAAGTAAGCTCTTCTGTCTTAGTGGCATTATTGCCTTGCTTGGAATGAATTGATTAAAACAAATATATGATAGTGGTATTTGATCAGTAATTCTTGTATTCAGTCTTGAAAATCTCTTAAAATCTTAAGACATCATCATGGTCTTCATCATTACTCCAAGACTGTTATTAATCAGAGATAGCTGTAAACCTTTCTTTTGTGCAATACCTGGCTGGCTCATATTTGAAGGTTTAACCTTGAGCTTGGGACTTCCTCAGGTTTTAATTAAACATAATATGCAAAGAAGAATTTCCAGATGTTGCCAGATTGTGGCCATGATAACCAACTGACTCTCTTTTCCATAGTGCTAAATTAGATTCCATGACATAAGATTCTTGATCCTGAGGTCACCACTGTGTAGTGCTACATTTAGTAGACAATGTAATTGTTATACTGGAACACACCTATTCTATAGTTAATAGACTCTCCCACCTATAATAAGTAGTAGTAGTAGCAGTCGCCAGTGAGTTGGTGAGTCAGTCGATGGCAGACATTAAAGTATCAACCACCACAACTAGATTGCTGTGTCATTAACTATTATATTAGTTCCTGATGTTTTGTACGTCAAACCTTTTTAGGACTGATTTAGTGAAATACAAGCCTCCACTGTGAAACTACTCTATAACAGTAATAATGTAACTTGAAATGATTATGTTGAATAAACTGAATTAGTTTAACAAAAAAATCATTACATATTGTTTCAACAGTAATTACCACTTGACACCACATTGCTTTTATAAAAGACATACATTAATACACAATAGTAAATTAGAAAAGAGCTTGTTACTGTTGCTAGATTCCATTAGAAAGACCTATATTAGAATTTTCTGGAAATTGTATCAAGTTATAAAGCAATTACCAAAGTTGCAACTGAAGCAAAGGTATTTTTAATAAGGTAAAAGCAAGAAGGCCAATTTCAAACTTACAGTTGTTGAGTACTTTCAGTAAATAAATTCATTTCGTTTTAATACCAGTTTTATTATTCAATCTGTTCTAAAACTTGTTTTATAAGATTGGAGATGTTACTTATCAATCACCCCTTGTAATTTAAAGAGAAATAAATTTCCTTCATTTTGATACCAGTTTCATTTTTCTATCTGGATTAAAACTTGTTTAATAGGATTGGAAAAAATGAATTTTTATTTTTCACTCAAGCCTTGTATAATTTATATATTTGTCATTCACAAAAAAGATTTGCTCTTATTTCCAGGATAATATTGAGTACCTTGTAAAAGAAGTCCAGACAGGTGAGAGTATCCACAGTCTCCTGAGTATTGTAGATGTACTAACAGTAAGTATCTGTCTCGCTGCCTCTCATCTGGCCACCCCTCTGTGGGTACCTCTCTAAAATATATATAAAAATATTTACATTTCATCGGGTTGTAAAAAGTTAAACTTTTCACTTACATGATTCTATGGAAAAATATTCAGTTGAAAGAAAATTTTCCTTATTAAATATTTTCTATTCTATTATAGAAACACAACTGTTATGCCTCACCAATACCTCATAAATAAATATTCCGTTTTGATTGTATGGAAAAGACATATCAAAGACACTACTTGGTTTCAGTGAGAAAATGAAAAAGTGTTTAACTACTAATATCTCATAGATAATAGACTATTTCATTTTGATCACATGGAAAGATGAAAAAGACGTATCAGATGCTGATATCAGTGAAAAAATGAAAGAAGGGAAGGTGGAAATGTTTAATGGCCATTTCAGTGAAATGGAAAAAAAAAAAAATGCATTTCAAATCCTTTCACTTTCTTTACGAAATAACCAGCATTCATATTTATGATTGCTATTGAAATATTTTGTTAATGTTTTGTCCGAATTTCTGGAATGAGAAGTTATTATGTACAGTGGACTTTGTTGTTTTTATCACAACGTTTCAGCCGTTGTTCCCTCTGGACTTCCTCAGGTGTATATCGATCTGAGTAATCTACAGGGAATTCTAAACTGAACCCTTTATTTAATCTATGAGGGTAGACTGTTCTTGTTCCACTGCTCATGTCTAGGGATATCATTGAGTTTTTATGTTAGGTAGTACTGTTCGGTTTTGCTCACCTGTTTCCACTGAGTACACACTTCCTGATCCAGGGATTGAACTCACGACCACTGTCACAAAATTCATAAACCAATGCTTTTACCCACTAGGCCATTGTCCTGTTCTTTGTTAAAGTTGTTAAGCTCAAATATTTAACAATGCTATAGAATTTCTGCAGATATTTTACTGTCATAGAACTCATCATGAGTTTATTCAATCATTGACTTAAGAATTAAGATTCATCAAAAAATTCAAATAGGGATGTGCTAAATTTAATTTTTTTTTTTATTCTGTCTTTGTTTCCAGGGTCATCCATCACCATTTAAGACTGTCACTGCCAAAGCTGTTGAAGACACTAATGTTCTCAAGTAAGATTGTTTTTTTTTTTCTTCTTTCTTTTAAGTGTATGCTTAATAGTTCTCAGCCTGACCCCCAAAAAATGTACAGGGTGTGGCAGAAATCAGTTCAGTTATATGCAATGCGTGATACGTACTTAGGCGAAATGTACCTTTCAATACATGACTAACGAGTGTGATTTTTTTTTCCTCGCAGTAGGTTGCCATTTCTTTCTGTGGTAGACCATTTGCCATCCAAGGCTATAGCACCTGGTCAAAGACTACTCTTCAAAAACAGATGTAAGGAGAAGAGGATTCATACCTTTCCTAAGGGTCAGTTATGTGCCATGCGTGATACATGTTTACGCAATCATGTATCTTTTGATACATGGCTGATGAGGCAGATTTTTTTTTTTTTTTCCCGTGGTAGGTTGCTATTTCTTTTTGTGGTAGACCATTTGCCATCCAATGCTATAGAACCCAGTCTGTCCTGCTATTTGACCATAGCTAGGTGGGGGAGAAGAGGATTCATACCTTTCCCGAGGGTATTAGCATGTAAATGAATGTAATGGATTTGACTGGAATTTGAACTCTCTGATTTCTCAATCTGAGCCACTATCCATTACTCTACCATGCAGAAATACCGCCTACATAATGGTAAGTAATTAGCTAGATGAAGACACCATTACCACTAATGTCTTACCATTCTGTGAGAGGTATTTCTGGGAGGTAATGTAGGAGGTATATCAAAATCCTAGATGTCTACATGTAAGGATGTCTGGATAATGTAAATGTGGAAAGGGAAATCGAGGAGCTAACTTCGTCTTTCCCCAATTATGGTTGACAGGCAATCTTGGAGAAGGAACATTATGAATTTTAAAAAAAAATGAGTCTTTGTATTCTTTGCAGCACCCTATGCATTGTTTCTCTGCTATGCGTTCTTTAGAAAAATGTGGCTGGTTCTACACAATCTTTCACCAGTATAATCCAAAATGTCTATATTTCTGAGATGAGGTATTATGTACACTATTTACATTATTCAAACTATTGTCCTCATCTTTGTCACCATATTTATTACGTTTTGGCCGTTTTACACTCTGGCCTTCTTCAGGTGGTTGGAATGTTGAACTGAACCCTTTATTTTGCGAACTGGGGTAGATTGTTTTAGTTCCATGTTTAATGGATGTCAGTTATCAGTTATGTCCTGTTGACAAATCATTTGTTTAGAAAGTCTTACTGTTTAGAAACTAAGCTGAAATGTTGAACCTTAGTACATTAAAATCAAGGAGGGAGTTTGTGTGTGTGTGTGAAAATAGAAGTCAAGACCGAGTGGTGACAGTCTGTTTCATGCTTGGACGCAATTTTCAGGTCATGTGTAATGGCCTGAAAATTTGACTCAACCATGAAACACTGTTGTTAACCTCAGTATTCACTTCTATATTTACATGCGCTCTATCTCTGATATTGAGCAATTTAACCCATAAATATAGCATATCTTAAAAGTATATTTTTTATCATATATAAGGCTCAAACACTAATATTCTATGGTTATAATTTATTACATTGGAATCGTAATCACAATCCAATTCCTCAGACCTACAAAATTTGAGCCTTTTATATTATATTCTTACTCTGTCCTGGACATTGAGTTCTACCTGGATTCTATCCTCTTGGGAATTTTATATATATATATATATATATATATATATATATATGCACACACACACACACACATTGACCATAAATATTATTCATATATATATATATATATATATACACACACACATTGACCATAAATATTATCTATATATATATATATATATATATACACACACACATTGACCATAAATATTATCAATATATATATATATATATATGAGCTGTCTGTTAGCCTTCAAGACAGGACATCCAATGTAGACCTGTTTAACAGGTAATATTGGAGGAATTGAGACTTTCCTGATATACTCTCAATTGTGGTGGACTGGTCATGTCTTGAGAATGTCTGATGACAGGATACCCAAGATCCTAATGTACAGCCAGTACATCGATGGCTTACAGACAAAGACAAACTGAGGAGCAACTTGTCAGCTGTCAGTATACCTCATAACACCCTTGAGTGCTCTGCCTTGGAGTAGGTAGAGTGGAGATCAATGCGTTTTAGTGCTAGTCTGAATCGTCTTCAAGAAGTAAGAGCAAGATCTAAAATGTTAGCCAATCTAACAGTGACCTCATTCTACAATCCTCACTCTTGCTCCATATGCAGCCTCCTTTGCAAATCACTAGCGAATCTTAAGTGCCACTTAAGATTATTGTAGAAAATTTATAACTGAATCAATTGGTTAAGTTGTCAGATCCTCATACATAGAAACCAACGGGAGAATCCATTTTTTTATATATATATATATATATATATATATATATATATATATATATATAGGCACTAAGACCAGGTACCTGTTTTAATAATCAGGAAATTATTAATAAAGAAAAGAAAAAAAAGGCATAAATTGACACCAAAAACAGAGTTACAATAAAAACAGTTCTTTATAAAAATGCCAAAGTTTTATAATTGGCAAACAGTCAACCACTTAAATACAATTATGTACACTTGTTGAATTGTAAGAACTTGAAAGAGTCACCATCTGGTAAAGGGGTGAAATATTAAAAAACATGTAGAAATGTTCCAAAGTGTGTGTGTGTATGCAAATGTGGTTAATTTAGTAGTCCAGAAAAAGGTGCATGGTAACCGCATTCAAGTGGTAAGTCTTTGAAAAGTTCATGTGTTTTGTCCTTGATGTAAAGAAAAGAAATCACTTGAGCGAAGTGACTTGGGAATCCAAAATGGTAGTGTGCTGAATAAAAATGTCGCACTTGGTATGTCAAGACATAAATCCAGAAAATTTGACGGGAAACCAAAATGAAGCTGCCATGAAGCTAGGTTGAATTCAAAATGGTGATATGCCAAAGAAAATGGTGCCAAACTGCTGCAGTTGCTAGGAAACCAGTCATGATAGTGCAGACCCTCAAGATGACGTTTCTGCAAATGAACGTTAAGGGAATTAACATGCAGAAAGAAAACAGCAAATAAAGCAACGATAAAAGAGACAAAGCAGGGAATTGGGTTTGCTTGACTGAAAGCCTGTTGACCGCTGTTAGCCAACAAGGAGACAAGCTTTGTTTAGACCACCTTTTCTAGGCCTCTCTTCATGTGGAGCAAGTAATCCTGTCCCTAGAGAAGGGTGCTTGGACAATCAGGATGCTGCCGAACGATATTTTCGCCCCCCAGGTCAACATCGGACGACCCATATCATGACCCGCTTGCATGCAGGATTGGGACTACGACTTCCAGTGTCATCTTCCATCTGCCGTTTTTGCGTTACAAGCAAGATAACACAACCTCCCAAACACCAGAGTAGAAAGCAATGACAAAGAAAGGAAAAGTAAATTTACTGCATCTCTCTGAGAGGAAAGGCAGTGTCTGCGACTTTCCAAGAAGGAAATGGTGAAAAGGGTAAAGAAAGCAAAAATGAACAAAAACAGGAATGATGATTTCAACACCTAAATGTGGAAATCGCTTCAGCTTCCTTCAGGCAACTCTTCCAGTTAGGGAGGCAATCATATCTGTTATGATGACGAGATCAGCTTTTTTATAGACTTACTTAAAGGAAGAGAAGAAAATGTTTGTTTTTTTTATAGGCTTAAATAGCGCTGCCATGTTTTTAGTGGAACCAAGTGAGGTAACACACACATATCAACAAAAGCAACAATTAAAATGGATATCGCATGTAACTTGAAGACAAAATAATGACTTAATCAAAATGTTGACATTCCACTTCTTCAAACAAAAGGTTAGGAAGGAACCCCCTCCTCCAATACCCCCCTCCAATACCCCCCAAAAAAAAAAAAAAATACCGGAAGGAGCAATAACAGCTACTGGACTTAAGCAACCTATTTTCTTCAAAAATTGTTTTAATAGGTAGATCTTATAAATTTCAACTGAAAGTAACAATGGATGCTTAATGTTTCTATGTAAGGAAATGACTAATATTAGTATTACCGTTAGAAATGAGAACTACACTTAGATTCAGACCTTATGGCCAGGAAGTAAAGAAAAGCATACATTGTGTCACACTGACCTTAGCATATATAGATTTTTTTTGTGTGTTATTTGTCTTTCAATTTTTATTTAAAGAAAACGATACTTTGTTTTTATTTTATTCTACCCTATTTAATATGAAATCCTCTTGCATTGTCTATCCTCGATAAACAAAAAAGTTTGGAGTAAATTTATATATAATCACCTGTAGTAACTTGTGTTTTGTGTCTAAATCCACATTGTTCCTAATTCATTTGAGGATACAAGGTTTTCATGATTTCAGAATTTCTTTTCTTCAGGTTACCTGTCCAGTCTTTCCAATCGGTATTTGAGTTGTACCCTGATTCTTTGGTCAGAGTTGTTCAGATCATCATGGTCAGATTGCAGAGGGTCACTTTCCTCGCTCTGCATAAATACCTTGGCCTCAGCACTGAACTTATAAATCCAGTAAGTAAAAGTTTCCTTGGAAATTTATTACACCAGGTCCTGGTGATACCAGGGTGCATTTTCTTTCTTCAAAGCTTTTCTTTCTTTTTTTTTTTTTCTTTCTTTTTCTGGAAGGAACATTTTGTATCGAAAATTTAAAAAAAAAATGTTTATGGTTCAATTGCAGTAAGATTTGGCTTTGGTTTTTGAATTTTGTTTTTATTTTAGATTTGATTGGGGAGGAGTTTGTAAGCCATGCAGTGTGCCGTTTTTTTTTTTTTTTTTTTGTGTGGTGTTTGGGGGTGTAACATATATATATATGAGTAGCTACTGTAAAAGTTTGGATGAAATAGCTTTCTCAAAGAAGGCAAAAAGAATTAACAGAAAACGAGGTTGTTTGTTTAAATAACTGGCTGATAACATTAAGCTTGTTATATTTAACAGTCCCCCCACAAGGAAAGTATGTGGCACAAGGCCGAGTTTAACGTGTGTTTCTCCGAGCCCGTAGGCTCGGCCAAAAATATCTGTCTACCTCCCCGGACGAAACTTTGCCCTTTGGCAAAGCTTCGTCGAAGTTCCTGTCCGCTGAGGCGGAGTGCTTGACAGTCATGAACAGTCTGGTCGACTGTTCCCAATAACATTAAGCCTGTGGTTCCCCAAAAATTTTTTTCAAAATATTTGCTCACACCTCAACAAATTTTACGTGATAAAAAGTACATTTAAAGATAAAAATTAAAGGTTGAAGGGAGATAACCATGGATCCAAAGTCAGAATATTATCATTGATAACTCTCTTCTCCAATTTGCAGACCATAGTTATTATATTCTTAAAACTTGATATAATGCAAAATTATCACAATGATAAAATCGGTCAATAATTATTTATAACTATTTACATTGGAACTCATGCATGTAATTACAAGTAGTCCATAATATTTTAAATTTTGAAATCATATTTATTTTTGGCAGATTAATTTTTTGAAACCTTTTCTAAATCTTTGATTGTCTTTCAAACATTCAGCCTCACCTGTTAACTTCTTCTCCCACACCATTTGGGAACCACTGCATTAAGCAAAGAAAATAACAATGAATGGAAATGACTCCAATTAAATAAAAACATTTGATTTATCAAATCAAGAATACATTTTCAAATTTCCTTAAGTCTATTATGATGATTAATTTGTGGGGACTGGGCTTTTTGATAACAATAAATGACTGATAACATTTTAGCAAAGCATGAGGAAAAAAAAATTCTATTCATTTTTAAAATATTTGTCTTTTGTTATTAAGTCAAGAACACATTTTTAGATATGAGGTGAAAAAAAAAATTATGTGTGAGCAAAATTTTTGTGGGTGAGAGATAACACCACCTTTCCTGTGCATGTGTGGAAATTTTTGCACAGTTAGGTAATATCAGTTCCTATCTGTTATGCCTAGAGTACAGACATGTAGTTTGTGCTCATAGGATTTTCATGCAAAATGGTGAAATGCATAGAGCAGAGATATTGCATAGTTTTGCCAAAAGCTTGGTGATACTAAAGTTCAAACGATCCAGGAGATTTAGTAAGCCTTTGGTAATGCCATGGGCAAAACTTGGATTAAAGAGTGATTTCTTTGACTCGTATAGTATTGTACATGATGAATATACACAAGTTCAAACAACCAATAAGGAATATTACCTGGCGGCTATAGATTGCCTTCGTGATGCTGTGTATCAAAAGTGGCCAGACATGTGGGTGGCGAAGAATTAGAAACTTTACCCTGACAATGTGCCCATACATTCTGCCCACATAATCCAAGCTTTCCTGATCAAAGCAACATACCACTTGTTTCATAGACTCCATACTGTCGCAACTTGGCACTGTGACTTCTGGCTCTTCCTCAATCTGAAAGCCACGCTGAAAGGGAAGCGATTTGAGTCGTAAAAGGAAATTGAGAAAAGACGTTGGAACTCCATAGCATTCCAGAGAAGGTGTTACCACCTGTGGAGGAACCTCTAGGAAAAGTATGGGAACTTGCAAGGGGAGTATTTTGAAGGTGATTTTAATAAAATTTATGAAATATACAAAAATTTTTTTTTTTTTTTTTTTTTTCTTGTGGCCAAAGGTTGGATACTTTTTGAACTCGTCTTGTACAGAGGAAGCTGCTAATTGTAATTTGTGGGGACAGGGTCTTTTAGGTAACCATAACCATCTAACAACATAAGACTATGAGAAATAGAATGGTTTACATTAATTGTTAAAGTATTTGGTGTCCTATGTTATCAAATCAAGAATACATTTTCATGTATACAGAAGAAGTCACTTATTGTAATTGTTTTGGTAGCCAGGATGTTTTTGATAACAATAACTGTCTGATGACATTAAGCAAAAAAAAAAAAAAATAAGTAAATATAAAAAAAATAATGGATTGATTTTATCAAATCATGACCACATTTATAAATTTCCTGAGGAATTATTTACATTATTCATATCCAAACTATTGTCCTCATCTTTGTTGTTGTTATCACCTGAATTTTGTATAGTTTAAATATAGTGTAAATAATGATACCTCCTCATCCCATTCATTCAAACAGGAAAAAAAAAATTCCCTGAGGAAGTTGATAATTATGATCAGTTTTTGGGGATTGGGTTTTTTATAGCCGTAACAGGCTAATAACATTTAGGCCAAGTATGGAGAGAAAAAAAAAAAAAATTCTATCTATTGTTAAAATATTCGACGTACCATGTTATCAAGTCAAGTACATTTTTATGCAAACAGAAAAAGTGATCACTCTTGAGGACATTGTTTTTTTTAATTTTTATATATATATATATATATATATATATAACAATAACTGATTGATAACATTAAGCAAATAAAACGTATCCTTAAAGAAGGTTACAAACAGACAAAGGTAGTACTCTATTGAAAGGAACAGCGACACGGACGTAGATGAAAAGAGAGGTTTATTGTAAAAGAGAATATGCTACTGAAAATCAGGGAATCTGTTAGCATGCTAATAATTCCCAAAACAAGTCTGCCAGGTATATCCTGTGCTCATAATATATATCTACCAGTATAGTCAGTCTACCATAGGCGATAGGGAGAGTGGGACATTTCATTACAACTGTCATGGGTCCTTACCTATAACTATAGAATGAACTCTTCCTAACACTATGTATACTATGCCTCTCAAGAGAGAGGGATGAATCGAGTCGAGCCGATAGTAGTTCACTCCAAAACAGACTGACAGTCATACTAACACCTTCCACATTTTGTATTATTATTTTGTATAATATACCTTCGTTATTTCTACTCTTGTGTTCGTGTTGTTCTTCCTTGGTCCTAACCTGGATCATAACAACAACATAAAATTAAAAAAAAAAATGGAGTTATTTAGATTCATTATTAAAACATTTTATCAAAACAAGCACACGTTTGAGAAGGTGTGTAAAAAAAAAAAAAAAAAAAGTGAAAATTCCATTCTTTGCCAAAATATGTGATATTTTAGTATATCAAATTAAATATAGTTGGAATACATTTACTAATTCAGTGTTACTAAAATATTTATTTATTTTTTGTCTCTCCCCACTTTTACCCTTTCAGGCAACCGCACCTGAAGAGAACATAAAGTCTCTAAATATTTATGCACTTGCAATGGCCAGTTCTGTGAGTCCGTACCAATCAACCAATATCAAAGACACTCAATCTACACCATCTTTGCTGGTTACATCCTCGGACAGCATGTCTTTGACTGATATTGCCAGTAGTTCTTCAGAGAAGTTGTCTCGTCATTCTTTAAGTGACAGCTCTGGTAAGTGTGCAAGAGTTCTGGTATGTTGGGGGAGGGTGGAAATTTTTGATTTGGAAAAGGCTATATTTATGGAGCCTCTGTTGATAGTTGAATTGAGAATGACTTGTAAAAGAAACATTTTTTGAAAATTCAAGCTGCTACAAAATTGAGGTATAGTGTAATTGGCATCATGATGTGGTGTCTTTGGTTTATATTGATTGCGTAAGTTTTTTTTCCGGATCTCACTGTTATTTTAATTATTCTTCCTCATTTTCAATGCATTCCTATAGTAAAATCATTAGCAATGCATTTACATTATACATATAATAGCTCTATTCTATCAGTAATGCTTGCATTCATTCCTGACCACTGACAATCCCTTTTTCCTAATTTTCAATGCATTCCTATAGTAAAATCATTAGCAATGCATTTACATTATACATATAATAGCTCTATATTCTATCAGTAATGCTTGCATTCATTCCTGACCACTGACAATCCCTTTCTTCCTGGTTTTCAATGCATTCCTATAGTAAAATCATTAGCAATGCATTTCCATTATACATATAATAGCCCTATTCTATCAGTAATGCTTGCATTCATTCCTGACCACTGACAATCCCTTTCTTCCTGGTTTTCAATGCATTCCTATAGTAAAATCATTAGCAATGCATTTACATTATACATATAATAGCCCTATTCTATCAGTAATGCATGCATTCATTCCTGACCATTGACAATCCCTTTCTTCCTGGTTTTCAATGCATTTTTATAGTAAAATCATTAGCAATGCATTTACATTATACATATAATAGTTTATTCTATCAGTAATGCTTGCATTCATTCCTGACCACTGACAATCCCTTTCTTCCTGGTTTTCAATGCATTCCTATAGTAAAATCATTAGCAATGCATTTACATTATACATATAATACCCTATTCTATCAGTAATGCTTGCATTCATTCCTGACCACTGACAATCCTTTCTTCCTCATTTTCAATGCATTCCTATAGTAAAATCATTAGCAATGCAACATTATACATATATAATAGCCCTATTCTATCAGTAATGCTTGCATTCATTCCTGACCACTGACAATCCCTTTTCTTCCTGGTTTCAATGCATTCCTATAGTAAAATCATTAGCAATGCATTTCCATTATACATATAATAGCCCTATTCTATCAGTAATGCTTGCATTCATTCCTGACCACTGACAATCCTTTTCTTCCTGGTTTTCAATGCATTCCTATAGTAAAAATCATTGCCAAAATGCATTTACGTATATATATAATAGTTTCATTTATCAGTAATGCTTGCATTCATTCCTGACCACTGACAACTTTTCTTCCTGGTTTTCAATGCATTCCTATAGTAAAATCATTAGCAATGCATTTACATTATACATATAATAGCCCTATTCTATCAGTAATGCTTGTATTCATTCCTGACCACTGACAATCCCTTTCTTCCTGGTTTTCAATATTCCTATAGTAAAATCATTAGCAATGCATTTACATTATACATATAATAGTTCTATTCTATCAGTAATGCTTGCATTCATTCCTGACCACTGACAATCCCTTTCTTCCTGGTTTTCAATGCATTCCTATAGTAAAAATCATTAGCAATGCATTTGCATTATACATATAATAGCTCTTATTCTATCAGTAATGCTTGCATTCATTCCTGACCACTGACAATCCCTTTCTTCCTGGTTTTCAATGCATTCCATATAAAATCATTAGCAATGCATTTACATTTACATATAATAGTTCTATTCTATCAGTAATGCTTGTATTCATTCCTGACCACTGACAATCCCTTTCTTCCTGGTTTTCAATGCATTCCTATAGTAAAATCATTAGCAATGCATTTACATTATACATATAATAGTCTAATTCTATCAGTAATGCTTGCATTCATTCCTGACCACTGACAATCCCCTTTCTTCCTGGTTTCAATGCATTCCTATAGTAAAATCATTAGCAATGCATTTCCATTATACATATAATAGTTCTATTCTATCAGTAATGCTTGCATTCATTCCTGACCACTGACAATCCCTTTTTCTTCCTGGTTTTCAATGCATTCCTATAGTAAAATCATTAGCAATGCATTTACATTATACATATAATAGTCTTCTTCCTATTCTATCAGTAATGCTTGCATTCATTCCTGACCACTGACAATCCTTTTTCCTGGTTTTTCAATGCATTCCTATAGTAAAATCATTAGCAATGCATTTCCATTATACATATAATAGCCCTTATTCTATCAGTAATGCTTGCATTCATTCCTGACCACTGACAATCCCTTTCTTCCTGGTTTTCAATGCATTCCTATAGTAAAATCATTAGCAACGCATTTCCATTATACATATAATAGCTTTATTCATCAGTAATGCTTGCATTCATTCCTGACCACTGACAACTTTCTTCCCTGGTTTTCAATGCATTCCTATAGTAAAATCATTAGCAATGCATTTCCATTATACATATAATAGCCCTATTCTATCAGTAATGCTTGCATTCATTCCTGATTGACAATCCTTTTTTCCTGGTTTTCAATGCATTCCTATAGTAAAATCATTAGCAATGCATTTACATTTATACATATAATAGTTCTATTGGTCAGTAATGCTTGCATTCATTCCTGACCACTGACAATCCCTTTCTTCCTGGTTTTCAATGCATTCCCTATAGTAAAATCATTAGCAATGCATTTACATTATACATATAATAGCCCTATTCTATCAGTAATGCTTGCATTCATTCCTTGACAACCTTTCTTCCTGGTTTTCAATGCATTCCTATAGTAAAATCATTAGCAATGCATTTACATTATACATATAAAGTTCTATTCTATCAGTAATGCTTGCATTCATTCCTGACCACTGACAATCCCTTTTCTTCCTGGTTTTCAATGCATTCCTATAGTAAATCATTATCAATGCATTTCCATTATATATAATAGCCCTATTCTATCAGTAATGCTTGCATTCATTCCTGACCACTGACAATCCCCTTTCTTCCTCATTGTCAATGCATTTCTATAGTAAAAATCATTAGCAATGCATTTACATTATACATATAATAGTTCTATTCTATCAGTAATGCTTGCATTCATTCCTGACCACTGACAATCCCTTTCTTCCTGGTTTTCAATGCATTCCTATAGTAAAATCATTAGCAATGCATTTACATTATACATATAATAGCCCCTATTCTATCAGTAATGCTTGCATTCATTCCTGGACAATCCCCTTTCTTCCTCATTGTCAATGCATTCCTATAGTAAAATCATTAGCAATGCATTTACATTATACATATAATAGCTCTATTCTATCAGTAATGCTTGCATTCATTCCTGACCACTGACAATCCTTTTCTTCCTGGTTTTTTCAATGCATTTTATAGTAAATCATTATCAATGCATTTCCATTATACATATAATAGCCCTATTCTATCAGTAATGCTTGCATTCATTCCTGACCACTGACAATCCCTTTCTTCCTCATTGTCAATGCATTTCTATAGTAAAAAATCATTAGCAATGCATTTTTTTTTACATTATACATATAATAGTCTTCTATTCTATCAGTAATGCTTGCATTCATTCCGACCACTGACAATCCCTTTCTTCCTGGTTTTCAATGCATTCCTATAGTAAAATCATTAGCAATGCATTTACATTATACATATAATAGCCTCTATTCTATCAGTAATGCTTGCATTCATTCCTGACCACTGACAATCCCTTTCTTCCTGGTTTTCAATGCATTCCTATGGTAAAATCATTATCAATGCATTTCCATTATACATATAATAGCCCCATTCTATCAGTAATGCTTGCATTCATTCCCTGACCACTGACAATCCCTTTCTTCCTCATTGTCAATGCATTTCTAGTAAAAATCATTAGCAATGCATTTACATTATACATATAATAGCCCTATTCTATCAGTAATGCTTGCATTCATTCCTGACCACTGATAATCCCCTTTTTCCTGATTTTCAATGCATTTATAGTAAAATCATTAGCAATGCATTTACATTATACATATATTAGCTTATTCTATCAGTAATGCATGCATTCATTCTGACCACTGACAATCCCCTTTCTTCCTCATTTTCAATGTATTCCTATAGTAAAATCATTAGAAATGCATTTACATTATACATATAATAGCCCTATTCTATCAGTAATGCTTGCATTCATTCCTGACCACTGACAATCCCTTTTTCTTCCTGGTTTTCAATGCACCCTATAGTAAAAATCATTAGCAATGCATTTTACATTATACATATAATAGCCCTATTCTATCAGTAATGCTTGCATTCATTCCTGACCACTGACAATCCCTTTCTTCCTGATTTTCAATGCATTCCTATAGTAAAATCATTAGCAATGCATTTACATTATACATATAATAGCCCTATTCTATCAGTAATGCTTGCATTCATTCCTGACCACTGACAATCCCTTTTTCCTGATTTTCAATGCATTCCTATAGTAAAATCATTAGCAATGCATTTACATTATACATATAATAGCCCTATTCTATCAGTAATGCTTGCATTCATTCCTGACCACTGACAACTTTTCTTCCTGGTTTTCAATGCATTCCTATAGTAAAAATCATTAGCAATGCATTTACATTATACATATAATAGCTCTATTCTATCAGTAATGCTTGCATTCATTCCTGACCACTGACAATCCCTTTCTTCCTGGTTTTCAATGTATTCCTATAGTGTTCATTAGCAATGCATTTACATTATACATATATTAGCTCTATTCTATCAGTAATGCTTTGCATTCATTCCGACCACTGACAATCCTTTTCTTTCCTGGTTTTCAATGCAATAGTAAAAATCATTTGCATTTCCATTATACATATAATAGCCCTATTCTATCAGTAATGCTTGTATTCATTCCTGACCACTGACAATCCCTTTCTTCCTGTTTTCAATGCATTCCTATAGTAAAAATCATTAAATGCATTTACATTATACATA